AAAACTTAGGGAAACATTTTTGTGACTTTGAGGTGACCAAAAATGTCTTAGCTAATATACAGAAAGTTTGAATCACCAAAGCAAAAATTGGACTTAAAAATGAAAGACTTGCTCTGTGAAAGACAACAATAAACATGGAAAGGCAAGACGGGAGGGGAGAAAATAATTGCAACAAAAAGTTTTTTTTACAGTTCAATAATAAGACAATTCAGTTTCTTAAACAACTGACAAAAAATATGGACAGATATTTCACATAATAACCATTAAACACATGAAAACATCCTCAACATTCTTAGTTGTTGGGTCATACAAATTAAAACTACGTTGAGATACAACTTTATACTTACTAGAAAGGCTAAAATTATGGACTGGTCAGTGTAGGTAAGGATGTGGAGCAACTGTAACTTGAATATATTTCTAGTAGGAATGTGAAAGTTGACATGGAAAACTCCTTGCCATTGTAATTGAGTGGAGAACATTTACTTTTTCTTCCTTAAAGAGTCAAAATTGCAAATACAGTTGGATATCAATTATATATATTGTTAATACAAGTTATGGAAAATAATACTTTGATATATTAATAGTTGATAATTTTTTTTTCTTTTAAAGAGACAGGGTCTGTCTTGTTACCAGGCTGGAGTATAGTGGCTATTATAGCTTAGCGCTGACTCAAATGCCTAGTCTCCAGTGATCCCCTGCTTCAGCCTCACAAGTCACTGTGTTACAAGGGTGTGTTTGGCACAATGATTATTTTTCTTCTTAGGTTAGGCTAGGCCTGATGGCTCATGGCTGTAATCTTAGCACTCTGGGAGGCAGAGGCAGGCACTCAGAACCAACCTAAGCAAGAGTGAGAACCCATGTCTGCAAAAAACAGAAAAATTAGCCAGGTGTGCGGTGAGCTGTGATGACATCACTGTACTCACTCACTGTTTTTTTTAGACAGTCTTGCTCTGTTGCCCAGACTAAAGTGCAGTGGTGTCATCATAGTTCACTGCAAACTTTAACTCTTGGGCTCAAGAAATCCTCTTGCCTCAGCCTTCCATGCAGCTGGGACTAAAGGCACATCCCACCATACTTGGCTAATTTTTCAATTTTTTGAAAAATACTTAAAGCCTCACTATTGACTAGGCTAGTGAGTGTTGAGTCATTTTAAAGAATTTTGTAAAGGGATCCTGAACCCCAGAAGCTTAAGAACTTTTGGCCTAGGATGTTAATTATTACAGTCTCTGTGAGTGAGGTACATGACTACTACGTGTGGGTTCCAACCAACAGGAAGGAGAGAAAAGAGCGGGGAAGCATGTGCACTCTTCTCTGCTCAGACCCAGAAGTGGTTTACATTGCTAATGCTCATGTTCTGCTGGTGAAAGCTTAGTCACTTAGTCTTCCTAATTCCAGGGGATCTGCAGAAATTTATTGTAGTTCAATAGCTGTATCCCCAATGATAATTCGTGTACATTTGATGGTCAAAGAACAAGCAGTATCTGCCATAACCACATGATTAATCTAACGAAAAAAATTATATTACAAAATCGGAAAGAGCTGTTGCTAAAGTTAAACAATTACTCCTGATTTAAAAAATGAAAACCAGCACCTCTGAAGCTGGGTCTAGAAGGAAACCTACAGCAAAAGATGTTCTTAATGTGTTAACAGAAGCATTCCTTTTAAAATCAGAAATAAGATAAAAGTTTTGAAGTATTGTTGCTGCTTAAGATTGAAAAAGAAAACCTGTTGTACAGAAAAAAGAAATCAAAAGCTGAAGAACAAATGAGAGGAATACTATTTGAAAATATTAGGGTTGTTTTATAATCAGGGATTGCAAATTATGGCTCACACCATATCCAGTAAGCCACCTGTTTTTGTATTGCCTGTGAACTAAGAATGAGGGGGTTTTTGTTTGTTTTTTGAGACAGAGGCTCACTCAGTAGCCCTGGGTAGAGTGTCATGGCATCATAGCTCACAGCAACCTCAAACTCTTGGGCTCAAGTGATCCTTTTGCCTTAGCCTCCTGGGTAGCTGGGACTATTTTTAGAGGGGAGGGTCTCACTCTGCTTAGGCTGGTCTCAAACTCCTGAGCTCAAGTAGTCCACCCGCCTTGGACTCCTAGAGTGCTAGGATCATAGGTATGAGCCACTCACCTTGCCCAGCCTGATTTTTCCATTTTCAATTGTTGAAAAATGTTTGATGATACATGAAAATTAGGTATAATTCCAATTTCAGTGTCCATAAAGTTGTGTTGGAGCACAGTATGCTCATTTGTTTATTGACTGTGGTTGGTTTGTTGCTATATTGGCAGAGTTGAGTGGCTGCAACAGAGATGGTGCAGTCTGCCGAGCCCAAAATATTTACTATGTGGCCCTTGATTTATATAAACACAAAAGACTTATAGGCTCATTTATAACAGTTGACAAAGAACAGATAATGACAATCAATAAAAAAATAAATTGCATTTCTATAGAAGCAAAAATAAAATTTTTGGAAAGATATTTCATTAAATTTATAGTTCTATATTTGAAATCGTTAAAGCCAGATGAATTTCAGAATTTGGAATTTCTTTGGACTTCAGAATATATATTATGTGCATATGTTGTTATATCAGGAAACTTCTATGGCTTCACCTCAAAAACAATACTGTTTCTATACATTAATAAGTGAATATTACTATGAAGTGGGATTAGTCTTACACCACTTTGTGGCAGATTTTTGCTCAAAATTAACTATTGAATTATAAGGTTCGGTTTTCTTTT